TTAAATTAAATCTGTGTTCATCGAATCAAAGCAACTAACATGATAATCAGCTCTATTGCTAACCGTTTTGCAGGTTAACGTTAGACATCATGCAATTGTACTACTTCCACTCTCAGCTAAATGACACTGTGACTTTGTGTACATACAGAATTGAAGGTCGGGTGTTGCTGACTACAGATAGGTTCTTAAATGGAGGCATGTGAAAGGTGGGTAAAATATTTATTTTGAACTACTATGCCTGGCATATCCAGATAAAATAAATATTACAGTGTATTTATCAAAGATACTTTTGCAGCAAGGAAAGTGAAACTTCAGCTAGACCTTGAGTTCAGTTTACAACATGAAGATCCTGCTTTCAACATCTGATCAACACCTGATTTTCATCTGAGGTAAAAAATAGATAAGTAAATGAAACATAATAATAATATTAATACATTTTTTCTAGAATTGTATATTTTGTGGTGTGGGTTTGTTTTATGAAATTCTCTCTTGTTTCTTTTTGCTGTTTGCAGAGTACCAACATGTTACAAATGAGAATTTTACCCACAAATTCTTTGCACAACTGGACCACCACCTATTTCATTTGATGACAATTTTAAGGCAAACAGCATCCAAAACTGGCAAGACAGCAGATTCCCTGGCTAATCTTTTAAAGGTTTATGATGAGCAGGTATGTTTGGGGTCACGTGTTAAAGTATACATTAAAATATAATTAGAATTTTTTTTTTTTTTTTTAATTTTTAAAAAATTGATTCTTGATTTCCAGGAACTGCATGATGTCAGTTCATGATGGACTACTGTTATCAGAGGTCTTTTGGTCTTGCTGCATGAGCGTGACTTAAGATTCTTTAGGAACACCCTGGTAAGACTTCATTCATTCTTTTCACAATTAGGCATGTTTAATGAAAAGATGAAAGTTTTGAAAACTTTTACTTAATAACATATTTGTAATCACGAATAGTTGATGAATCATATAATATTGGCTCAGTCATTTTGATACTGTCCTTACATTAATATCCTTGAATTATATTTTTAGATTGATAATCCTGCTGACTGAAGATGCTTTATTGGCCCTGCATTCACTGAGGGTCTCTGTTGTCCTGAAGAATGAATTGGACACCACCCACAGCACACTTCCAGACCTTTCTTGTCTTGTATGGATTAATGTATGCTCTTCACATAATATATAGTAAAGGACTTTGAACTTGTGCAAAAAGTTTTGCTTGGCATGGATGATGGAAAATAAAAAGTCTCGTAGCATGGAAACCTTAAAGAATGAGTTAATGTAGAGCTTTTTTTTTTTTTACTTAATAAAGACTGTCTCTGGGGTAGTAACTTCAAAACATTTATTTACCTTTAATTGGTAAGTATGCATTTTATTATATATAGGGATAGTTTGTCCAAATGTAAAATTCTGTCATTTACTAACTCTTCACTTGTCCCAAACCTGCTTGAATTTCTTGCTTCTGTTGAACACAAAAGTTAAGTAAAGCTGACAACCTGTAACCACTGACTTTCTAATAGGAAAACAAATACTGTGGAAATCGGTGGTTACAGGTCTCAGCTTTTTTTTTTTTTTTTTGATCAAAAATAACCTTTTAAGTGTTCAACAGAAGAAAGAAACTCAAACAGGTTTGGAATAAGTAAATGACAGAATCATAGTTCAACCAAGACTGAATATATATATATATATATATATATATATATATATATATATATATATATATATATATATAAAATCTGCTCTCCGTTAAACAGAAATTGGGGGAAAAAATAAATGGGGGCGAATAATTCTGACTTCAACGATATATATATATATATATATATATATATATATATATATATATATATATATATATATATATATATATATATACAGTTTCTGTGTAGTTTACACTAAACGAGTCACTTCACAGAATGTGCACTTATTATTTTTTTAACAAATGTCTTAAGACTAAGTTTTACACTTATTAATGTATTATTAAATTTTATCAAACTTATAGTTGTTTTTTCTTGAGGCTCTTATGTCTGATATCATATTTACATTGTGGGTAATTTTTATTAATTTCAGAATAGTGTTCATTTTCAATCTCTTTATGTCTAATAGTTTTTATCGTTTTAAGACATTTGTAATTGCATAGGAGACAAATTTGAAAGTACTGTTGGAAATTTTTTCTTTAAAAATAAATGTCTAAAATGGTATTGTCTGTGTGTTTTAAATTACAGATTTATTTTGACAGATTTATGGGGTTTAAAGATTAAAATAATGGCTAATTTTATTTGTGAAACTGACGATGGAGAAGTTAATTTTAAAAAAATGCTATCAAAATGTATGAGCTGGGTGACTAAGTATGTAAAGGTGAGATAAATAATTAAAAATAAGTTAATTGCTATTAAAATGTATGAGCTGGGTGATTTAAGTATTTAAAGTTGAAAGAAATTAAAGCAATTAAGTTAATTTGTAATAAAATGTATGAGCTGGGTGACTAAGTATTTAAAGTTTGGAAAAATTAAAACAATTAAGTTAATTGCAATTAAAACGTATAAGCTGAGTAACTTGGGTATTTTAAGTTAGGTGAAGTGTCTTGCATGAGTACAACAAACTCAAAACTTAATGTTTCTGTTTACTTAAAATAGATAATTTCATAACTTAAAAAAATTGACGTAACTGATTACCTCAAATTTTTTGAGTTTTGTCAACTTATTCGGGATTACAGTGTGTACTTTTTTACAAGAGAGGCTAGAAAAATTATTATTTATTTATTTTTATTATTATTCAAATGACTAAATTCTGACTGAGGAAAGTTGTACTGGCTAGTTTGTTTTTGTGTATTAAACAACAATAGGCTACAGTTTTTCATTTTAAAAATTAACACATTCTAGTTTTTTTGTAATGATTTATAATGTAATAAACATGTATTTTTTAGTATTTCTTTATTTAAACTATTTAAGATATATTTTTAGTCCATAAAGTTCAAGGTCACTCTCCAACAAGCCAATCCAGCAAAAAAAAATGTAAAAAGTTAAAATAAAATTTGTTTAAAAAAATAGCTTAATACCTAAAATATCACTAACATGCAGTACTTAAAACTGAATAACTGCAAAAAGTCAAAAGAAAAAAGAGAACCACCCCTTTTACCAAGCTGGCTACAGGCCTGAAAAGAGATCTTGAGAAGATGAAACTGCGTGAATGGATCAGGATATCGGGAGACAGAAGCAAAGTGATCTCAAGTCAGTCAGAAAAAAAAAATGACAGCAAAGGTAACTGTCGGCTCTTCTAGAAGATTAATCAGAGTCATTTAATTATTTGTTTTTTACTTAAATACTGAACATAATACTGAAGTGAACTGAATAGTGATTGTTTATACGGTTTATGGTTGTAGCTGCATGTTTCTATCATCCATGACTGACCTATAACATTATATGCCACAAAATAATTAAAGACCGTTACGACTGTGATTCTCTTTAAAGCTCTATCACAATTTAATGATGCAGGAAAACTGAAACTGTGTGGAGGACATCAGTCACGGTAAATTTTATTTCCTAGTTTTGTTCCGGGAATTATTAATTTACAAACTAAGCACTGTGCATAAGTAGCAGACAATCAAAACAACAAGTAAGGGATAATAAGTACATCCTGGAGGTTGTTATTGCAGAATAAGGCTGATCGGTTGTGTAGGACTAAAGCTTTTGTCTGTGATAACAGCCACCTGGATGTGCTTAATTCCACTTGTTACATGGCATTTTGACACAAAACATTGTTCTGAGCTGTAACAGTTCATCCTTAAAAAAAGGCAAAGCTGACAGAAACAAAAAATGGCTGAAAGGAGCATACACTAACCTACATAATATTCAGTCACAGGATGGGGGCAAAAAGTCAAAACAACATGTCAGATAAGCATATGGATATGCTTTGGGGAGGTATTCACTGACAGTCAAGATAATCAAAGTACCCAGATGAGCTGTTTCAGTGGTTGTAATCTGGGAATAACATACCTTGGAATGTAACAACAGACCAATGAGAATTAAGTATTCCAGAGGGCTCTGTAATAACAACAAATAGCCACTGAAGAAAAAACAAACAGTGAAACTAACAAACAAAAACAAGCTCAGTAAGGAATGTCCCATTTTTCCCTCAACAATGCATTCCGGATGATTTTGGCTCTCCAAAGAACCTTTCAGTAGAACAAAGAGTCTGTTGCATAATAGAAAAGTTCTAAGACTCATTAAAGTTCTTCATGGAACCATCAATGCCAGTAAGAACATATTTTTTAGGAGTGAGGGTCATTTTGGGGTGAACTAGTGCACATTATTCCAAAGTAAACAATTACTCTTTATAATCTTTTATCAAAATGCAACAACTCGCTCCACCGCCGAAATGACTTTGTATTTCCATTCAAAATCACACTGGATAACATTAACCACCAGCCAAATAACCATTTATGCGCTGCTCTCGGTCCACCTACTTCTCACATTCCAATCAATTCCCAATGGACAAAATCAAGTCTTTTCTTTAAACATCCTTCACTCACAAACGCGTCAAACTGCAGTAAAATGGCCTGCAAACGGCACTTCATGTTGATTATAATAACTAATGGGCTTGTGTGGCCAGTCTATCAAAGGTAATAGTGTTTGTTTGGTTTGGAGGAGAATTAAGGAATGACACATTGGCAGTGCTCCCACACTGCGTCTACAGAGAGAGAGAAAAGACGGCAAGAAGACATGCCACATACTATTTAAAATGCATTAGACTTCTCCAGTGAGCTGAAGGGGGAAAAAAATGATGTGCGAAGTCTATAATCTGTCTGCTGGGTATAATTAGGCACACATGGTTCAATACGGTCAACTTGCCGATCTGAACTTTTCAGCACGTGGGAGGAGAATAGTAGCTCCAGGCTAAGTTTACTTGAGCCGCAGTGTTATTTCCCATGTAAATAATCTCTCTGGCCGACAACTAAATGTTTCTCCACCTCTCTGTCTCTCTTTCTTCGCTTCCTCAGGGTCATTCTTCCCAGCTCTGAAGCCCTCTGATATGGTGTTCAAAGTAATCTTCTGGCTGGGATACTTCAACAGTTGCATTAACCCTATAATTTACCCTTGCTCCAGCAAGGAATTCCAGCGGGCCTTCACGCGTCTGCTGCGCTGTCAGTGCCAGCGACGCCGTCGCATCCTGCGCCGCTTCTACGACCAGCGCTGGAGAACCGCCATGAGGGGAGCCCAGCGGGACCCTCACAGAGACTTCTGCCCTGCGTTCCCCTTTCACGAGCAGTGCAGTAACTCGATATATTCCTGCCAGAGCAAGCGCAGGCCTCTTAGTCTGAAGAGCTGGAGGTTTTTCCCCCCTTTACAGAAGTCCTCCTTTCAGCTGAAGGAGAAAATGAACAACCTTTCCAATAAGATCAAGAACGGGACGGGCAAGAGCGCCACATCTGCTCTGGCCAGGACAGAGATTGACACGGTTTCAATGGGAATCTATAATGAGTGCGGCGATCAGAGCGGTTACCAGATCTACGACCTCACAGACTGCTATGGCCTGAAAGAAACGGACATCTAAACTGAGGGATCTGACCCACTGCCAGCTCTATAGGAACTGTGTTGTTTTATATATATGTATATATACATTACCAGTCAAAAGTTGGAAATCAGTAAGATTTTATTTATGTTTTTTCAATTCTGCTCACTGAAACTGCGTTTATTTGATCCAAAATAACAATAAGAATTGCTAATTTGTGAAATAATATTACATTTTAAATAGTTTTAAATGAATGTAGTTTCAAATTGAATTCATAATTGTAATTCAAAGCTGAATTATCATTACCTCCATCTTCTTCAATGTCACATGATCCTTAAGAAAACATTGTAATATGAGGTAGGGCTGAGCCCATAAATGATATTATATCAAATAGCAATAAAATTTATGTCGATAACATGATAAGCTTTGACCTTTTTAACTCTATATTGATCTAAGAGCCATTCACACAGCAGAAATGTGCAACAATGCAAATTTAGAAGTGTGTTGATATTAGAAAGGCTCCGAATTTTTGACCGCCAAAATTATTGGTCACCAAAAATAGATTATGCTATTTAATGAACCCTCTAATTTGTGGCTTTAGTCGTTGTTGGGATACTCTTATAAATCTGGAAGCATTAACAACTGATATCGAAATATACTGTATATCGTTATTGTTCAATATGGAAAATGTTTAGTTGTATACTTTATTGTCCCTCAAGGGGAAATTTTCTGTAGACTCACACAGCACTATAGCAGGTTCTGACACAATAACAATTTAAAAAATAGCCAACATGCAAAAAATCACATACACTATCGTTCTGTGTTCAATAGTCTGATTGACACTGGAATAAAAGAGTTCTTAAGCCTGTTCCGTTTCCAGCGGAAAGTTCTGTATCTTCTTCCAGAAGGTAAAAGATCGTAAAATGGGAAGAGTACATGCGATGGGTTACTAAAAATTCTTTTTGCTTCATTCTGAGTGCATTGCTCGTAGAGTGTTTGTATACTAGGAAAAGTTTCAGATCCTATTAGTTTCATAGCAGTTCTGATAATATAAAAAATGTTTGATTTCAGATTTACAGAAAGATTGCCATACCATGTAGACCATACCTGATAACACTTTCAAATACAGCTTGATAAAATAAGTACAAGATTGTCTTATTAACACCATAAAACCATAACCTTCGTAGAAAATGCAGTCTTTGGTGAAGCTTTTCACAGATCCAGTTTACGTGAGTGTCCCATGTTAGAGACCTTTCTATGTGAAAAGATGTAATCAAGGTTGCATTTTTGCCATATTGCCCAGCCCTAATATGAGGATTAGCTGTTCTAATATGATTAATCATCATTCGTACAAAATCACTAATAATGATCAGTGCTAAGTTTTTTAAGTACTGCTCCATAGTATCGTCTGAACCGATACTTCTTACTTTTAGGAGTAGTACAAAGTAACAGCCTTTTTTCCCCCCAAAATTTTAAAATCATACTTAACTGCGACAAGGGTGTAGAATTGGCATGGACGGAGGGGACATGTCTCACCGATATCCACCAATTACTGAAATGTACCAATACTTTAATCAACTTCAAAATAAAGTAATCCTCGTCAACTCTTACATGTGCACCAAAGTCAAGTTTGCTGCTAGTTCACCGTAATACTATTAACCAAGGCAGTGCAATTAATAAAAAATCAGTTTGATTCTGTCCTTCATGACTATGAAAAACAATAATCCGGATAAAACAGTTAAATTGTGTCACACACCTCTCTAAATTTCTCTACATTCATACCTCCTCAAAGCCAGACTGCAGTAAAATCATGCAAGTTGACTTTTGCAGCATGGGACGGGATTGTTATTTGTATTATTACGTGTTTATTTTATATTATTAAGTACTTTAATCATGTTTTTAAAAGCACAAAACAGAATTTGTGCTGTTCAATGCTCTAGGAGTGCATGTCCCCACCAACGTCAAGAGCAAATCTACGCCCCTGTTGTATATGAGATTACACAAATTTGTATTAATTAGCTACTAAATCAAAAAGTTACGAATTGTCGTGAAATAGCATTGTTTAGCAAGGATTATGTGACTGAAGACTAATCATGCTGACGTCAGCTTTAAACCACAAGAATTAATAAAATTTTAAACTACATTTGCTAAAATAACAGTTATTTAATATTTACAATATGAATTCACAAATGTAATGAATTTTAAAAATGGCAAAATGGCAATGGTTTTTACTACATTTTTTATTACATAAAAGCAGAACCAAGCTTGTTTTAAAACATAAAAAAATCTTACCGATTCTAAAGTTTGACTGGCAGTCTATATATATTTGCCCTCAATGATCTGTATTCATGTTATGTCTTTAAATGACTTTTAGAAGCAAATCTGATGGGGAAAATGAAAGGACATTACGTTAAAGGAGATTAATGTGTTTTCACATGGATAATTTAAAATATATCACTTTGAAAAGTGGAAAAAGTACACTGAATGGAAATATTAAGAAGAGAAAAATACCTATCTGCACTGGACCAGACTGAAAAGGCTCATCGCTGCTGGGTTTCTGTGTACTGTCTTGTCCATGTGGCCTTTGAGAAATTGTCTGTCAGATTTTTCAAACTCTCTGATGACCAGCAACGGTTCAAACTGTAATTACAAAGAGAGATTGTTACAATTACTTTGGCCTGTCGTTCATTAGGTGTGAGTTGGTGAACGTATTTAATTGTGATGTATTCAGGAGACTGTTGAATCCATGATACTGATTTTTTTCTTAACACAATGATTCACTGTGATTCGCAGTTGACTGTGCAGTTCACTTCTAAACGATTCAGAATTGATTCAGAGGTACATACCTTCAAATGTGAGGCACAGTTTGTAATTTAAACAGATTTTTGTGCAGATGTTTTCAGTATTTCTGAGTGTAGTTGAACCCTTTGTGATATTCATGCTATTCTTAGTTTAACCATGAGATTCCAGAGTCATGCCTAAAAGGACCAAGAGTTTAAAAAAACAAAAAACAAACAAAAAAATTCTGAATTAATGGACTACAACTCAGTTTTTGTGTTGTTGAGAAAAGCTTTGGGTTTATTTGTATTGCTGATGTGACCATGTCTTTCAGTGACAAACATTAAACATAATAAATCAGAAATGAGCATGGAGTAATGTATTTGATGAGTCTTTCAAATCATGAATCGACTGTCTTCAATAGAAGCATAAAGAAATTCTCATATATTGAGAATTTAGACAAATTAGACCTCTTTAATGTATTCCTATACAAAGCACCGAGATTAAATCAAACTCAAATTGAGAAGCTTGTCAGATTTTTCTCCAGATAAAAAATATGGATGAGAAATATTTAAGATTCTGCATTATCTCCAGGTCAGCACCTTTTTTTGTACAAAAGGTCAAATGTTCGTCTAATAAAGCCTAGGATGGTCTTTAGAACATAATCAGATGTTCCATGCGTACATGATTATCTGGTTTTACACTTTTAGAGTTCATGCCGCTTGAGTACTCCTGACATTTAAGGGGAAGAAAATGGACATACCAAACACAAAGACTTTTTCAAATGTTACATTCTGTTCTCAGATTTGCCAGGAGACTGTAATCTGTCATAATTTACTCACCCTCAAGTCATTCCAACATCCTTAAGCCTTTTGTTCGCCCTTAGGACCTAAATGAAGATATTTTTAATTAAAATTTGTGAGATTTCTGTTGCTCCTTTGAAAAAGTGTTCACACTAAAAGCGGAATGTTTAAAAAATGTTTGTAAAAAGCTCAAATAAATTAATATAAATCCAGTGTTCCCCTCTCAAATCTTCTATGATGAACAGATTTACTTTGGCTTTTATTTGTAGTACATTACATATTTATCAGCACTCTAATGAACCAGCACTGAACTGAAACTCAACTGTACCTGCTTGACATGATATCACACACCTCATGGTTGCTGTGTGTCAAGCAGACCTGCTTTAGCTTATAAACTTTGAATGCTCTACATTGCAATCAATGTTTATATGAGAATCAAAATTCATCATTCAAACCAATAGTCTCCCCAAAAGATTCACTTCATAGATATGTATTTATTTAAATTACATCTAATTTATTAATAAAGTATATAGTTAAGTTTTTAGTGTTTTTTTGGGAAATTTAGTGTATTCTGTTCTGATTATATCTGGCTTACTTTAGGTCAATTACAAATACGCATCTAATTTGCCTTTACTTTTAGACTTTATGTAGGAACAAACACATATTTAATGAGAAATCAGTTTTCTGAACTCTTACAGTGCTGTAAATCCTGGCGGTTTCAGAAAATTGAATGAATTTTCTTCTCGCGTTGATTGGCGTTTGGCGCGATTATGCAATGGTATGAACCGTTATAGGGGTGGAGAAATGGATATCTATTATTTTAATTATTGATTGTATTATTTTAAATACAGATCAAAGGGAACTTTTTCCCAGAATAAAAGAGACCCCATACATACCTCATACATTTCAATCACCACAAATCCCCCTGTAATTCACACCCTGAGCATTTTGGAGAAACAACAGACAAACTTATTTTCCGAGAACTCTTATGACCGTTTGTTGCTGCATTCACTTACCCATTAATGATGAGGAATTAAGGTGGGCCGATAGAGGTCGCTGTAAATGAACAGAACTGTTTACCTTTTGCAATCAAACGTGTTTAAAGGCACCACCTAAAAGCGGTCTGAATCATCTCACATTATGCATAAAAGTATAAAAGTGACAAGACTTGTGGGTGTAAAGATGACTCTTGAGGATAACACACTGTATCTGCTGATAACTATTTCTGAAAAGTGGTTTCCTTTTCTATTTAAGATTCCTGAGAACTCACAAGTAAATCAGCGTGAGTCCTTGTCCTCCCGTGTTTCCTGCGGATTACTGAAGAATAACATCAGCATTCATAACAGTTCCTAATGGGTTCCTTCAGCTCAGCGTTTGTATATTTTGACCTGTCACAAAAAAAAAAAAAAAAAAAAAAGTTTCTTTCTCATACTTTACTAAGAAATGCGACTGCGTAAAACTGCTGTTCAAGAAAGCGAACAGAACATTAGCTTAACCCTTTCATGTACAAATTATGGAAAACATCTAGGTTTTTTATTTTTACAAATATGTTTTGCATTCAATGGTGTAGTCCTTTAAAAAAGTGGTGTACCATTACCCACCCAACCCAAATTTTCAATAAAAGTTTTGATTCATCAGCAAAATAAAATTTGTTGAACTTACTATTTGACTTCTACATAGGAAAAACAAATACTATGGAAGTCAACAGCAACAGGTTTTCAGCTTTCTTCAAAATATCTTCTTCCGTTCAACTGGTAAAGGTTGAGTAAATGATGACAATTTAAATTTTTTGGGTATCCATTTAAAAAGGAACAATATTTAAACAAGTTTGTTCATTTAAAGTGAGATACTAATAGTTTAATTCTATTCAATGATTTATGCTTAGCTAATATTGGCCCCAGTGGAGCCAGAGATTGGCTGAGTATATTAAGCAGTGGTAAAACTGTTACATATATGGGACATATATGTTTCTGGTACATATGTGGACATATTTGTTTCTGACACACATATGTGCTATACATGTAGAGGACATATATGTTTCTGGCATATATGTTGACATGTTTCTGACATATATGTCACATGTGTTTTACATATATGGACATATATGTTTCTGACATATGTTGACATATGTTTCTGACATATATAAGTCACATATATGTTTCTGGCATATATGTTGACATGTTTCTGACATATATGTTGGCATTTATGTTTCTGGCATATATGTTGACATGTATGTTTCTGACATATATGTTGACATTTTTGTTTCTGGCCTATATGTCACATATATGTTTTTGACATATATGTTGACATATATGTTTCTGGCATATATGTTGACATACATGTTTCTGGCCTATTTGTCACATATATGTTTCTGTCATACAGTTGAAGACAGAATTATTAGCCCCCTTTTGATTTTTATTTTCTTTTTTAAATATTTCCCAAATGATTTTTAACAGAGCAATAAAATTTTCACAGTATGTCTGATAATATTTTTTTCTTCTGGAGAAAGTCTTATTTGTTTTAATGCTTAACTGTCATCATGGAAAAGATAAAATAAATCAGTTATTATAAATAAGTTTTTAAAACTATTATGCTTAGAAATGTGCTGAAGCAATCTTCCCTGAACAGAACAGAAATTGGGGGGAAAAAATAAACAGGGCCGCTAATAATTCAGGGGGGCTAATAATTCTGACTTCAACTGTATATGTTAACATATATGTTTCTGACATATATGTCACATATGTTTCTGGCATATATGTTGACATATAGGTTTTTGACATATGTCACATATATGTTTTTGACATATATGTCACATATATGTTTCTGGCATATATGTCACATATATGTTTTTGACATATATGTCACATATATGTTTTTGACATATATGTCACATGTATGTTTATGGCCTATATGTCACATATATGTTTTTGACACATATGTCACACATATGTTTCTGGCCTATATGTCACATATATGTTTCTGACATATATGTTGACATGTATGTTTTTGACATATATGTCACATATATGTTTTTAACATATATGTCACATATATGTTTCTGGCCTATATGTCACATATATGTTTTTGACATATATGTCACATATATGTTTCTGGCCTATATGTCACATATATGTTTTTGACATATATGTCACATATATGTTTTTGACATATATGTCACATGTATGTTTCCGGCCTATATGTCACATATATGTTTTTGACATATATGTCACATATATGTTTCTGGCATATATGTCACATATATGTTTTTGACATATATGTCACATATATGTTTTTGACATATATGTCACATGTATGTTTCAGGCCTATATGTCACATATATGTTTTTGACATGTATGTCACATATATGTTTCTGGCCTATATGTCACATAAATGTTTCTGACACATATGTTGACATGTATGTTTTTGACATATATGTCACATATATGTTTTTGACATATATGTCACATATATGTTTCTGGCCTATATGTCACATATGTGTTTTTGACATATATGTCACATATATGTTTCTGGTCTATATGTCACATATATGTTTTTGACATATATGTCACATATATGTTTCTGGCCTATATGTCACATATATGTTTTTGACATATATGTTGACTTATATGTTTCTGGCCTATATGTCACATATATGTTTCTGGCCTATATGTCACATATATGTTTTTGACATATATGTCACATATATGTTTCTGGCCTATATGTCACATATATGTTTTTGACATATATGTTGACATATATGTTTCTGGCCTATATGTCACATATATGTTTCTGGCCTATATGTCACATATATGTTTTTGACATATATGTTGACATATATGTTTCTGGCATATATGTTGACATATATGTTTCTGGCCTATATGTCACAAATATGTTTCGGGCATATATGATGACATATATGTTTTGGGCATATATGTGGACATATATGTTTTTGGCATATATGTTGACATATGTTTCTGACAGATATAAGACATATATGTGTTTTACATATTCATTCACTTTCTTTTTGGCTTAGTCACTTTATTAATCTTTGGTCGCCACTGCAGAATGAACCACCAACTTATCCAGCACATGTTCTTATGCAGCGGATGGCCTTCCAGCTGCAAACCCATCTCTGGGAAACATCCATACACACTCATACACTACGGACAATTTAGCCAACTTAATTCCCCTGTACCAAACAGTCTTTGGACTGTGATTGAAACTGCAGCACCCGGAGGAAATGTCACATATATATATATATATATATATATATATATATATATATGTTTCTGGCATATATGTTGACATATATGTTTTTGACATATATGTCACATATATGTTTCTGGCATATATGTCACATATATGTTTTTGACATATATGTCACATATATGTTTTTGACATATATGTCACATGTATGTTTATGGCCTATATGTCACATATATGTTTTTGACATATATGTCACACATATGTTTCTGGCCTATATGTCACATATATGTTTCTGACATATATGTTGACATGTATGTTTTTGGCATATATGATGACATATATGTTTTGGGCATATATGTTGACATATATGTTTCGGGCCTATATGTCACATATATGTTTTTGACATATATGTCACATATATGTTTTTGACATATATGTCACATGTATGTTTCCGGCCTATATGTCACATATATGTTTTTGACATATATGTCACATATATGTTTCTGGCATATATGTCACATATATGTTTTTGACATATATGTCACATATATGTTTTTGACATATATGTCACATGTATGTTTCTGGCCTATATGTCACATATATGTTTTTGACATATATGTCACATATATGTTTCTGGCCTATATGTCACATATATGTTTCTGGCCTATATGTCACATATATGTTTTTGACATATATGTCACATATATGTTTCTGGCCTATATGTCACATATATGTTTTTGACATATATGTTTCTGGCCTATATGTCACATATATGTTTTTGACATACATGTTGACATATATGTTTCTGGCCTATATGTCACATATATGTTTCTGGCCTATATGTCACAAATATTTTTCGGGCATATATGATGACATATATGTTTTGGGCATATATGTGGACATATATGTTTTTGGCATATTTGTTGACATATGTTTCTGACAGATATAAGACATATATGTGTTTTACATATTCATTCACTTTCTTTTTGGCTTAGTCACTTTATTAATCTTTGGTCGCCACTGCAGAATGAACCACCAGCTTATCCAGCACATGTTCTTATGCAGCGGATGGCCTTCCAGCTGCAAACCCATCTCTGGGAAACATCCATACACACTCATACACTACGGACAATTTAGCCAACTTAATTCCCCTGTACCAAACAGTCTTTGGACTGTGATTGAAACTGGAGCACCCGGAGGAAACCCACGCGAATGCAGGGAGAACATGCAAACTCCACACAGAAATGCCAACTGACCCAGCCGAGGCTCGAAGCAGCGACTTTCTTGCTGTGAGGTGACAGCACTACCTACTGTGCCACTGCACTGCCCGACACCAAGAAATGTTTCATAAAAAAGAAAAGAAAAAACTAGTTTGGAGACTTTCCAGAGACAATTTCTCTCTTTTTTTAATTATTAGATAAGTTATTGATCATAAAGATGCCCTTCCACCAGTTGCTTAATCTTTACTTACCTCATTATTGAAGCAGGCAGAGCAGCTGGTGGCAATTCTCCATCCGGTCATTTCAGAGGAATTCTATCAAGAAAACATGATCCAGGCTATGATTTAATTTCCATCGTAATATTTTTTTCTTCTCATATTTATTTTAGCTGTGACACTGATGTCTGCAGGTCATGGGTGTTAATCTAGGACAGGGAAAGGGGAGGATGTGTCTTGCCTTTTGGGTGTTTCTTTTGATAGGCACTCTGTGTACAGTGAAGTGCACTGCAGCTTCCCTCAAATAGCAAAAACCTTCTGTTCCTCGTTGTGTTTATTATCTCATGCTGCCATATTTTGTTGAACATACCAGAACTTTTGTTTTTGCAAAAAGGACATAATGTGAGTTTAAAATAGTGTATGTCCTCAGTGTTTGACCGTAACAGCATGTTTTTACATAATGTTTATGTTTTTGCTTTTCTATACAAAAGGAAAGCTTCTGTAATGCACTTTACAACAGACAGTGCAATAATTAAGGATTATTTTCTGTATAACACGTAATCTGCGAAAAGATGATAAACGCATGCCAGACATCTCATTTATTTACAGGCTAAACAAAAATAATGGAAGAAAACACATTTTTACAGGAAGTTCAACGCCAAACCACAATGTTTACATGCACTTTATCGCTTGTTGTGCTATTAGTCTAAACTGGGTTTTGCTGAGGTTCATGTTCTGTCATTTATGTAATTATTGAGCTAATCCTTTAATCCTTTGAAAGTATTACCACAAGGAATACCTTTGGTGACTTATACACTAATTAATCTAAATAAAAAAAATACTGGGAATTAAATATGTTTGAATTTAAAAATATCTCAAATAAATAAATAAATAAATAAATAAATAAATAAATAAATACAAGGGATTTTAAGTAACTAAAACTTACCAAAATGTATGTACAGACATGCACACAAATAAACCTTTCATTGGTTTTAGTCACATATGTTTCCTCGTTTTTATTTTGGCCATTGTAAGATATTTTAAAATTGTATTAACCCAAAATGTTTTGTAGCAATTTATTTTGTCAATTTGTTTTGGTAATTTTAAAAGTTTAAACAAAGAAAAATGTAGAAAAAAATAATTATATATATATATATATATATATATATATATATATATATATATATATATATATATATATATATATATATATATATATATATATATATATATATATATATATATATATATATATATATATATATATATATATTGAAAAATACATCCTGCAGTTTAGCACTAACTATACAGAAAGAGCCAATGCTGAATTTCTGTGCATGTCTATATATGTAAACACATACACATACATACATACACACACTTTCCCCCAATAATTTCAGTACAATATTTGGAATATTTTCTGTTGACCTGTATGAACTGGAAAGAAACCACTGTGGAACATTTCTCTCAAACAAACTTCTGCTACGACAGACTAGTTGTCTGTGCGCTCATTGCCATCTCTTTTAGAGTGAGAAAGGTCCATTCCTTGAGCTGAGCCATGCAGACAAATTCTGCATCCCATGATCATGAGGAAAGCTCGCCGAAACGACCGGTTGAAGAAGCCATAGAGAAAAGGATTTAGCGAGGAGTTAATGTACCCCAACCACAGAAAAACATCCCATATCACAACCGCTGTCCCATACTCGATGAATGGGTCAATGATATTAACAGTGAAGAAGGGCAGCCAGAAAAGAAGGAAAACCCCCATGATGATCCCTAGCGTTTTGGCAGCTTTTCTCTCTCTCCTTATGGAGTTGCGATGTTTTTGTTTCTTACTCGAGTCTTTGCCCACACCTGCTGCCATCTGTGCCTCCATCGCGCTGATCTGCATGGCTTGCCGTTTGGCTGCTTTGTAGATCTTCCAATAGGCCACCAACATGGTCACCATAGGCAGGTAAAACGCAACAAGCGACGCCATCACGGCATAAATACGGTTCACTAAGAAGACGCACATGTTCTCAGGTAAAGGAATATCCACACCAAGCTTGTGCAGCCCGAAGAGAATAGGACCAAATGATATGAGAAAAGGAATGGCCCAGCAAACCACAATCAGCAAACCAACGCGCTTGCGAGACATCTTAAAGGAATACACCAGTGGGTTGCAGACAGCATAGTAGCGGTCAAAAGCAATGCAGCTCAGGTGGAAAATGGAGGCTGTGCAGAGCATAACATCCAAGCTGGAGTGAAGATGGCAGAAGGTTGGGCCGAAATACCAACATCCTTCAACTGTTCTGACCATACTGTAAGGCATGACCACCAGGCCCACAAGAAAGTCAGCGACTGCTAGAGACATGACGAAAGAGTTAGTAGGGCACTGCAGCTGTTTGAAGTACGCAATGGCGAGAACCACCAGGAAGTTTCCCACCACGGTGCAGAGGATCCCTGTGATGATGAAGAGATAGAGGGCGACTCGTGAACCAAAGCTCCTCAATGTGGCACAAGCTTCAAAATCCGAGTCCAGTGAATTGTTGCTCCATTCTGAGGTGTTTTCCATGCTGTTCAACCTAGTGGTAAATGAGACACATACATTATTGATTCACACCAAAACAGAGGTCAATGTGTTCAAATTATCAATGTTTAATTTGATTTCAAGAAAGTTACTAATGATGTTCTGCAAGGTTTAGTCTTAGGGTTTTAATCTAGGTGCAAAGTCTACAGCCATGTTGCAAAAGCATTAAGGGCATGTCTGAATCCACTTTTGCCATTTTAAGGACAGAAAAATACACTTTGCACCGCAGCGCATGGTCTAACAGGGTTGTGCTTATTCTCTTCATGAGTTCTGGGTGTGTTTTGAGCATAACGTGCATTAAACAAATCAGAATTTCAACTTCTCAACTTAGTTGCGTCATGCCATGGTGCATGGTGCAAAACTAAACGCTTCCCTAGGGCGAAAACAGTTAAACAGACAATCTGTGGGAGAATAAAAAAATGAGCCTCCTCCATTCAGCCTTTTTACTTTCTCTTAATTTTACTCTTTACTCCTTTATTTTCGTGGATAAGGAAACAGTGTTGTTTATAATCCAATAAAGACATCCATTAGCCTACATATTTCATTTAGTTTGTTAAGCGCAAAGATTTCTTTCAAAACTATTTCTAAATTCAGTTCTCATTTCCAGCAAATGAATAAATGAACAATAATCATCAAGTGTGGTCAAACAACTGAGTTATATCCAAACACACACCCAATTCTTATGTCCCATATATGCCCGCATACGTCTCCAAAACCCAAGAGGTGGACAAATCTAAGCTTGTTTTTAGTAAAACAAATTTAAATATGCATATAATAAATAATACTGCTAATTATAATAACATTATACAAAACAGGGTTTCTGCAGGTTTCACAGAGTTAAATTCAAGACTTTTTAAGATATTTTTAGGACCGTTATGAATGACATTTTAGATTCATAAAGGGCTAAAGGCTAAGAAATTTTTCAAATGGCCCAGATGGAAAAGATTTTTATTTGCCCTGTCAATTTTTTTATTTAATACATTTAATAAAAAAAAAAATAATATATTAATAATAAAAATACAAACATTTTAGATTTTATTTCTTAGCAAAATAGTTTAAATAATGTGTAAAAACAAGCAAGCTCTACTTTTAACTATACACTTTTTTTTCAAATATTTTAAAAGTTTTAAAAACTATAATAAATTAAATCTACGCACAACAATCTGTCCAGGTTGGTGTCCTCAGCCGTGAATACACGAAGCACCTTTTAACAAATGTTACTGTAAGGAAAATGATTAAACCATTATGATATATAGAGTTAAAAATGACCTTTTTAAATAAAAAGTTTAAAGTTTTATTAAGATGATTGTGGTGATTGTATGGATTTTGGCCAGATTTGGTAGCAATACAATAACAAAGGAAAATTAAGACCTGTTTAAAATGACCAACAAAAGACCTGTTTAAGACCAACAAAACAATATTTCAGTAAATTTAAGACTTTTCAAGGCCTAAAACTTGGATTTTGAGATTTAGGACATTTAAAAACCCTGCTGAAATCCTGACAAAAATAAATGGTCATGAATGAACTAAAAAAAAGGCATGGAGGCATGAAGAAGGCATGACAGCAGTGTTTTTTTTTATATTTTTGTAGAAAATGATCATTTTTGTAACATTTTAATCCATTAATTTTTTCGTATGTAAAGATATTTGTTTATTGCTGTATCCTGTTTGTAATAAGCAATGTGTAAGTGTTTGAACCCACATAACTAGACATAACTGGCACTGCGCTGGACTTTAGACCAGCTCTTAACACAACCCCTTTTTAGACCAGCAAAACAGCGCAAATGGATTTGTTACAGTATTTAAACAACATGATATAAAACATGAAAACTAGAGTTGCGCTGGTCTAAAAATATCATCAAATCGCACCAAACACATCTTGCACCTTATCAGCTTAGTACCTTTATTAATCTGGGGTCGCCACAGCGGAATGAACCGCGAACTTATCCAGCATATGTTTTACGCAGCGGATGCCTTTCCAGTCGTAATCCATCTCTGGGAAACATCCATATAAGCATTCACACTCATACAATATGGACAATTTAGCCTGTACCCAATCCACCTTACCGCATGTCTTTGGACTGTGAACCTGGAGGAAACCCACACGAACATAGGGAGAACATGCAAACTCCACACAGAAATGCCAACTTACTCAGCCGAGGCTCGAACCAGCAACCTTCTTGCTGTGAGGTGAAAGCACTACCTACTGCGCCACCACGTCGCCCTATAAATTGTTTATATTGTATGTAAATAATATCAGTAATAACTTTGAACAGACTTAATGCCTTAAAATCAACATTTAAATGTTCGAGGTCATTAAAGCAGGATATATTCATCAGGTTATTTTTAAAAAGCATTAATCAACTGTAAATCTTGGTGTTGGCTCTGCTCTTTTTAAAATGTAGAATAATTTGTAAAACTTTATCTTCATCTTTAGTTATCGTAACCTTGGTGTGAACGACTTATTCCCATGATCATTGATAAATGCTTTGTTTGATTTCATAACATGCTGTGTTTTAGAAGACCAGCAAGAATGATTATTCGAGATATTGTCCAGTCTTGCTAATAAACCGCCATACTGATATATGAGAACAGAAATGGACGTGTCATTCCAACACGGAATAATAATCAGTCTATTTCAGCATTAATATTTTTGCTAAATGACAACTGCCCCTGAAGCTCCTGTACGGCTGGGAAAGCAGAACAGACTGGAAGAACCCAAGGCGAATCTGTAATAAAAACAATATTTTGAATCCCCAAAGTGTTGGATATCTGCCAAGAATCATAACAGCCCCTCAACTTGACCTTGTCTCAGGAATTGTATCCCTGCAATGCAATGTGCCCCATGTGACCTTTGGGATTACACCGAACGTGCAAACCTATAAGATGTCATCAGCATTGTTAAAGTTTAACGTAGTTCCTATAAGGATGTGAGCAAAAAAACAGTTTGAAAGCATTAACTCTGAAATATTTATTCATTACTGGAAACTATTCAAAGTGACGTGTGACCTGTTACATAATTAATAGAAGTCTAAAAGTAATGTTTGAGATGTAATGAAGAAACAATCTATCACACATCGTTCATGTATAATGTATGTCAAGTTAAATAAAAGCCACAACTGAATTCTCCTCAGATGCAGTGAAGCGGAAGAAAGTGTCAGTTTTTCGTGAGTGACAGACATGTTTCTCAGCCCGTGACAGAACCCGAAAACAACATCTGGGGATGTTTGACAGAGAGGAAAAAGGAAAGCGCAAAAAACAAAATGGTTTTAGTTCAGTAACAATAAAAATTTAATTACTACCAAAGGGACTGCATGACAGGGACAAAGTGATGCTTAACGTTTTGCTCTTCCCTGCCACAATCACTAAAAGAAAGACATTCCTAAAGAAGTGATCATTTACTTTGATAATTTATTGTCCTTTCAATACATTTTTTTCCTTTTTGTTTGCATATTGCATGTGTATATTTAAGATAATTATATGAACTCAATTTATTTATGATTGTACAAATTGATAATGTTTTGGAAACATGAAATACATTTTCCTTTTTACAATTTATATTTTAAAACAAATCATGGAAAAAAAAGTGTGTTGTTTCCTAAATATCATTAACTCAGCAAGAAGTACACTCTACTGTAAACATTTCTGTCAGTTTCTGTCACAATGATGCTTTCCACATAAATACTGTAAGTCAGCTTGTTAAGTGACTCCTAATTTGCCTACATGAAAAAACAGCAGCAAAATAATCTTTACATATTTTCCTCTCTCGTACATACATCCTTCGCCTTCTATTCCATTTTGTTAAACAAAAAAAAAGGAAAAAGTATAAGTGAACTGCTCTTTGAGTATTTCTATAATGGTAAAACTTTACGATAATAAGAGTCAATTACGAGTCAATTAGTTCATGTATTTATAACACGAAGAAACAGGAAACGATACATTTATTACAATGTTTATTCATCTTTGTTAATGTTAATAAAAAAAGATATCCTTTGTTAGTGCTTGTTAACTCACTGTGCATTAACTAATGTTAACAAGCTCCATTTTGGATTTTATTAATGCATTATTAAAGTTATGTTTGTATGGAAAGTTACTTTGGAACGAAATGCATTACAAAACTGAGTTACTTTCCTGAAAAGTAATTAGTTGTGTTACTTAGTTACTTTTTATGGTAAGCAATGGGTTACATTACTTTTGAGTTACTTTTGGGTTACTCTTTCTTAGGCTGAGGCTTGATCTATTTCAAAACTTGCAGGTTTTTTTAATTAACAACACACTGAATAACCTTTTATTTACCTTTAAAAAAAACATTAAAAACTAATAATGTAGGATAATGTTCTTCTGAGAACTTCCTGACCCCAGAGCTCTACATGTCGTATATACAGTTTAATCAAAGTTTAAATCAATGTGTTTGCTACTTTTGTGATTTTTGTCTTATAAGTGAATTATAAATCATTTTCAAGTACACTTCCTTTTCTAACATGTGTTCAAAATAATGACCAAATTCTCTTATCTGAATTTTAACTCAGCAATTTACTTTTTAAAAATGAATTAATTAAACAAAAAAGTTACTTGCAATAATTTTTTTTAAAAAGTACCTTAAATATTATTCCTTTTTTTTTTACTAATGTACTTAGAAAAGTAATATTATTCTGTAACTCGCGTTACTTGTAAAACATTACCCCCAACACTGGCTGTAACTATGATTAATTAAGTATTGTTCTCATGTTAGTAAATACATAACATAGTAAATATATAACATAATTTCTGACCCTATTTATGTCCTGCATAATGAATTTGAACAATAATAAAATGAATAAAATTTATTTGAATAAAATAAAATTAAATTAAATTAAATTAAATTAATGGGTGCACAGTAAACAAGAGTGCATCAGGTAATTCTAGGGTTATTAAAATAAATTAAATTTAATTTTATTTTATTAAAAAAAATAATTAAATCATATTAAATCAAATTGAATTTAAAAATATAAAAATTATATAAAATTAAATTAAGCATAATAAAATAAAATAATAAACGGGTGCACAGTAAACAAGAGTGCACCAGGCAATTATTGGGTTAAGTAAAGAAAAGAAAAGAAAATTAAATTATTAAATGTATAATTAAATTATTAAATTAAATTAATAATAAACGGGTGCAAAGTAAACAAGATCTAGTTGTAAAAATGCAGTAAAGGTTAAGGTAAAATGTAATGTTTAAATGAGTATAATGTATAATGAGTCCCCTTTTGTATGACTAAAGTGTTTGTAAATGGCTAAATGATTTTAACCATTGTAAACACAGATATAAAAATGCCATATCATATCATATCACACTAACATTAATTATTCATTCATTCATTTTCTTTATGGCTTAGTCCCTTTATCAATCAGGGGCTGTCACAGCGGAATGAACCGCCAACTTATCCAGCACATGTTCTACGCAGCGGATGCCTATCCAGCTGCAACTGGGAAACATCCATACACTCATTCACACATAAATACGACGAACAATTTAGCCTACCCAATTCACCTGTAACGCATGTCTTTGGACCGTGGGGGAAACCGGAGCACCGGGAGGAAACCTACGTGACCACGGGGAGAACATGCAAACTCCACACAGAAACTTCAACTGACCCAGCCGAGGCTTGAACCAGTGACCTTCTTGCTGTGAGGCAACAGCACTATACTGCGCCTCCGCGTCACCAACAATAATTATCAGAGCTATTGTTTTTTTTATTGTTTATTGTTGTATATTGTAAAATGGGACCCATGTAATGAGTAAAACAATTCTGCTGCATATTTTAAACTTTACTCAGGGTCTTCCTGTAACAAAATGTTAGAAACAGCCTGACTGCATATGGAGGTTGGTTCTAAAAATAGAGACATTTCAAATGACATGATATCGCAATCGTTATATTGCAATTTACAGACAGTATAGTCAGAGGAAAAGACGAATGAAGTAGAAAGGAACATTTGCCTGCTAAAGATAATAATACAATCCTTTCTGTTCCTTCCAGTCACTTGCAATTTTACAAAATACATGATTGCTGAGGTTAGGACAGCAGACGCTAAACACACTCCTTTCTTCAGAGCACTCAAACACAGCAGATGAGCTTTAAAATGTCAAGACAATGTTCAGAGGACAGTCCCTTTACATACTGTACAGCCTGTGTGTGTGTGGTCAGCATTACACATGTAAACACTGACTTAGTCTAAGTGCGTAATAAAGATATGGGGACGCTTCTAATTTATAAAGACCACAACCGAGCACTCAGCTCTTCCATAACAACATCTCTGGGTTATCTTGCAGTACAATAACCAAACACTTTTTTATTTGTTTATATTCTTGAGCTTAACTAACCACTACTGGAGTTGATACAAATTACGTGTCATTCATCCCTTTAATC